TTTGATTTCATATTAAATAATCATAAGCATTGCTCCTCGCTAATTATCCTTTGTTTTAACATATGTTCTTCCACACCTGTGGACAATTTAAAATATATATTTAGATCTATGGTTTTTGCTTGCACATTCATACACTACCTTAATATTGATGTTGCACATAAGAAATTTCAACAGTTTCAGATTTCCTGATAATTCTGAATAGCCTCAGGTTTTCACAAAAGCTTCTCACTATATCATTAAGAGAGCTGAGAACTGTTTTGGACTGCAAGTTTAATTTCAAGGATCAAAGCCCCATATATCTGTGTGAAACTGATTTGGATCCTACTGTTTTCTGGGGAGAAGCCCTTAGGTAAGAGGTCAGCAAGAGGCTGCCAGCAGGCTGGATTCAGCCCACCAAGCCACTGGATCTGGCATGTGGCCGCCTCACTGGAACCCTTACACAGAGAACTCCTCACTCATGAAAGAAAAGGCTGCTCTCCACTCTGGACTGCAGGACAGAGAGACTGTATGCTGCTCCTGAGCCCCAACAAAATCTCTCAGCTCCTGTGGGCCAGTTTCCGACCAACAGGAGATGATAAATTTTGCTGAGGCCAGGGACAGTGTGTGAAGCCTTCTCCCTCCTTACCCCCTCTTATTCCTGGAGCAGACACCACAACCTAGACTTCAACAGATAGCCTGCCTCAGATTCCTGCAGAGCTGTTGGCTGGGAGGTGCCTAGGTAAGCACCTCCCAGCCAGAGCCTGCCTCTGGCATCCCACCCCTTTTTTCCCCTGCAACTATCTTCCCCAGACCACCATTCAAACCCTCTGTACCCGTTTTCCTCCTTCTCCCATGTCACATTTCCCACCAAGACTCTGCACCCCCTGCTACACACCTGCCCCAGGCCAAAATCCTCTCCTGCACGTATACCCCCTCCCTGAGCCTGCACCACATTCCCTTTCACTTGGATACCACCCAAACCCTCTGCACGCCCCTCTCCCAGGTCAAAACACCCTCTCATTCCTGCACCCCCTACTACAGTACCTTCCCCAGGCTAGAATCCTCTCCTGCACCCATATCCCCTCCTGGACCCTGCACCCCAAGCCCTTGCTCCAGATCACAACCTACTCCTTCACCCAAATTCCCTCTCAGGCCCCACGCCTGCTCCTGCACTCCAGTCCCCTACCATAAGCTCCTTTCTGCACCCAACCTCCATCCCAGACCCCATGCCCCCTCCATAGAAGCGTGGCTCTTGGCCACTTGCCAAAACCTTGGAGTGGTGCCCCATTAAAAATTATTGCCCACCCCTGCCTTATGTTGAGAGGTATTTAGGTTGAGAATAATGTCCACCCATGTTAGCATTGTTTGTAAAAGACTGGCAGCTAGCTAGAATGATTCACCTTAAAACGAGTTAGAATTGCTGCAAGCTAGAGCCATCAGACACCAAACCTTTTCATCTGCCCTTTAAGAGACAGCTTGATTCTTCCAACGCAAGACTGACATTATTCTTAGTGTGTGAGACTTATGGCAAGCTTTTAAATAAAAAAATCTTTTCCACCAACTGCTTGTCATGCAAGGAAGAAGAATTTGTTCTATTACATAATGCTTATGTATGTTACCCAAAATCCTATGGGCACATCTGTACAGCAGGGAGGAAGCTGAAATAAACTATGCAACTTGAATAGTTTATTTTGGCTTTTGGTGCTGTCTGCACTGCAGGTAGTTCGAGAAAGAGCACTCTTCCTCCAACTTCTCTTACTCCTTGTACAATGAGGGTTACAGGAGTCAGAGTAAGAAGTCTTACAGCTCAACATTATTTCAACATTATGTTGAAATAACTGCTTGTACTGTAGACACAGACTTTGTTATTTTGGAGTAACATCAATTATTCCGAAATAACACACATGTGTAGACACATCCATGGGTGCTTTGGGGGTTGGGAAAGAGGTTGAGCTGCCTTACACATTGCAAGCTCTTATCAAGCCTATGTCTCTCTCTCTCTTTCTCTAATCGTTACCTCCCTGAAATCAAGGAGAAATCTTGATAGTCGTTAAACACAATGCTGTTATCTACTGATCTCAAAATGTACATACACACCTTTTACATACATACATATATACAATACAACAGGCTGATGAACATTATTATTTATAGCAAATGTTGAAAAACTGCTATAATACCATTATGGAATCATTTAAGATATCCTATATGGAAATTGATGTTATCACACATAGCTGGCATACAATATATTTCAACTTTTGACATTCAAATTCTCATATGCTATATAAGTTATCACATATTAACACACACAATTTACATAAAGATGATACCAATAACACAACCAAAACAAAAACAAATGATACTAAGCCAAAATAGCAATAAACCCTTTCACAAGGGTCAATGAAAGAGCATTATAGAAATGTAAATGTACTCAACTCAATTTTTTTATTTTTTTATTTTTTTTATTTATTAATTTTTTTTTTTTTAACAGTAAAACTCTAGTGGTCCGGCATTCAATGGTCCGGCACTCCTGATGGTCCGGCACCATCTGGAACCCAGAAGTTCTCCGGGCAGCCGGACAATTGGAGCTGCTCTGCCCCCGGCTTCCCCTATTCAGCCGCTGGTCAGTTTTAGCAGCGGCTGAATCGGAGAAGCTGGGGGCAGAGTAGCTCCAATGGTCCGGCTGCCCGGAGCATTTCCGGGTTCCTGATGGTGCCGGACCATCAGGAGTGCTGGACCGTCAGATACTGGACCATCGGAGTTTTACTGTACTAATGTTTCTAAGAATGCTTTAAAATGCACATATTTCTGGCTTCATTATAATAATGAACTTGTTCCTATCAAACCAGTAACATCTTTTGTTATTTGACCTTTTATTTCACCTCTAAATCAAATATTAATTTTATGTCATACAAAACATGACATTTGCTACCAGTTCTTCTTCTGTTTACACACTAAGGAAATTATTTTTAATGCTACAAAATGAGCTAAACTTTAGCCCTCATAGCCCCCCCTTCCCATAGTCTGGCATATCTGATAATCCGGCACCCACCTCCTGGGTCCTAAAGGTGCCGTATTATCGGAAGTTTATTGTACTAAGAACATAGACTGGATCAGGGATATGAAAGGTTACCGGTTCTGGTTAATCAGTGGGGACTGGTGCAGCTCCCTGCCTGCTACAGGCAAGAGGCTGCTTCAGCCCCGCAGGGCCCGCTGTGGACAGGGGCTGTTCCAGCTGACTTGAGGAACTCTGTGTCTGTGGTGGGGTAGGGAGTCGTAGGCAGGGGTTGTTTCAGCCTGGCTGGAGCAGCCCCTGCCTGCAGTGGTAGGAGGGAGACAGCTCCAGCCTGTTTGTGGAGAGCAGGGGGACTGCTCCAGCCCAGCTGGGCTACAGTGGATATCTGCGGGCTCCCCCTTTAGAAGTATCTTCACTTGCTATAAGGTAAGTAACTTTCTCTTCTTCTTTGATGGATGGTTCCTATGTCTATTCCATTGCGGGTGACTGATAAATATTATTCAAATGGGAGGAGATTGTGAGGATGAAGGTGACAGCTGTTTAATGGATTACTGTCCTAAAGGATAGGTCACTCTTTCTGTGGTACTGAAGAGGAACCTGCTCTATTGCTCCTTGAGGTGGAAGGACTCTACTTCTTGTTTGAGACTCTCTCATGAGAATGGCCCCTGAAAAGGGGCAGGAACAAAGGATCTGGAATGAGCAAGGGGGTAAGTTCATCTGCATAATGAGAATGGATGATAATTAACTCCTTCTTATCCATTATTATTGCACTTGAGGTCTGGAAGAAGAGTGCTAGGATGTGTGGGATTCAGTGGTGGTGTTGTGTCTTGAATGCCTAATAGTGATAGAGATGGGGGAAATCGGAAAGAGCAAAAAATCATCAGTTGGAACATGAGACTTGCTATCCCTGGAGCATGAGGGGTACTATCTGTCTGAACCAACAGAGCCTGAGCAAATATTATCTGTGCCACGGTTGAGCAAGGTAAAGCTGATATTATTGGTGTTTGGAGCTCCTGCTGGCTGTCCTTTGTTGGTTCTGTCAATTCTCAGTTTTTGGGCTTAATCGGTGCCAGATGAACCAATGCGGCCAGATCATGGTCTGGTGCTGACAGAACCCTGGATTTATGGACTTTCTTTTCACAATCATGAGACTCAGGATGTTCAACGTCCTAATGGGCTGAGCAGGAATATCTCTGGATTTACGCAGGGTTGTATCCAACTTCTTAGAAGTGAACCTGGAGGAGGATTTGCTCTCATGTTTGTGAGAATGTTCCCTCCCTTCTTGACAAGACCCCAACAAAGGAACTGTGGGAGTACATTCCCTTGCCCATTTGAGACAGCTTGGCAGGAAGCACAATCCTTGCTGAATTAAGCTACTGAACTCTAACTGGATCTGACTGTAGTCTCCTGGCTTTCTCCATTAAGTGCTTCTTAAGACAAATTCCCGTCCTTCATGTTACTACTGGGAAAAATGCACCAGATATCACACCGTGCCATGACATAAGATAACCTAGTACAGGCAGCACAGATGACCATAACTGAGAAGGAGCATAGGCAATAAGGGTAATTTCCCAATAGGAAGAACTATCCAATTATAAAACTTGATTAAAACTATGGAGTAAAATTCTTTACTATATAGTTTTACAGACTGAAGAACAAAGGAAGATAAAGACCCAGACAGTGGGGGAGTTGAACTAGGCAATGCGGTAACTGGAAGGAACTGGTGCTGTGGTTGGTCAGCTCAGCTCTTTACCTACACAGTTGGAAAGTTGAAATCACTGAGGATAGTGAGGGAACATTAGCAGATCAACTGACACTGCTCTCAAAATTCTCCTACTCGGGGCACTGTGTACCCACAGTGGAATACATAAAGATATTAGGATTTGTAGATAAAATAGTTAATTTACCATAGGGCTCTAGGGAGCAGCAAGGATGCTTGCACATTAGACTGTAAATGTATTTTATCATTTTAAACAGATAATAAACTCTTCAAAACACATCCTACCTTCCACAGCTCTTTTGAAAAATACTTTGCAGCTGCCACAAGTTAGGACACCATAGTGACATCCAGAGGCTTCATCAGAACAGACCAGGCAAAGTTTGGGAGGTGGTCCTGTTGCTGTCGAGGCGGTGGATGGAGAAGAGCTTGCATCAGATCTCACTCCAGGACTAAAAAACAAATGGGAGGGAAGAAATTTCAGTCATAATTCTTGGAAAAACATGTCAAACACATTTCATTAATAGGCACAAGAGGAGTCACAAATTTGAATAACTTTTCTAATGTGCTTACATAGTGTATTTTGTAAGTTGTTCATTTTTAGATCTGTGAAATCTATCATCTTTGTGACAGATTATATAGTCAGTGATATGTAGATATTAAAATATTGTATTGCTTATATCAGAGTCATTATGAAAACAATATCCTTTTTCCAGTTTACTAATTAATCAAAGAAATTCAAGATGGAACTTCACATCTTGAAATAGTTTCCCACAACAAGCAAGTCAGCAAGAGAAAATTCCTATTGCTTTCTAGACTTCAATCATACTGAAAATTAACCCCTATATTATCAGAAGTAATGGATCCACTCCGTCCAGGAGCTTAAAGAGTGTGTGTGTGTGTGTGTGTGTGTGTGTGTGTGTGTGTCGGTCGGTCGGTCGGTCGTCCAGGAGCTTAAACTAGGGTGGGGGGGGGTGATCGAGTTAAGTCACACAACTTCAGCTATGTGAATAATGTATGTGAAGTCAATGAACGAAGATCTACTGATTGCAGTGTGTCCGCTGTGTGCATTGATAGGCAACTTTCCCATCAACTCCCCTTTGGCGTTTCGTTAAAATAGCATACCAGATTTAATGGGAGAGCCATCAGCAGACAATTTATTTAATCTATACTAGACTCAATAAATCAAACTTTGCCAGACTGACTGTTACCCCATCAACAAGCCCTAAAACGGTTAACAATACCAGAGTTTCCAGATATCCTTAATGGAGAGGAAAGGGAATTGGAGGATTAAGAGAGGAATGTTCTTTAATCTTCTACTGTAAGTCCTAGGGATGTTAAATTGCAGTTAATCAGCTAGTTGGGTAGTCCAGAAGGGGGGTGCTCACTACCCCCCTGCAGCTCTGCAGTTTAAATTTAGTAGGAGCCCTGCAGATGCTTACTACATTTAAAATGCAGAGCCACAGAATCCTGGAGCCGGCATGAACCGGGACTGCTTAATCCCGGTTTGTGCAGGCTATGGGATGCTGCAGCTCTGCCCCCTCCATCACAGAGACAGTACTGGGAGGGAGCTATTTTTAAGCCAGCTCCCTCTCCCCTGCTGCCTCTGACACAGAGGCAGCAAGGGGGCGGGAGCGAGTAGTCGACTCAACTATCTAATATGCATATGCTTACTGGGTAGTCGACTACTCCCTTACATCCCTAGTAAGTCCCCATATTTTGTAAAATACACAATTTTATTAATATTGATTTAGATTGGTATTTCCCAAAGTGCTGAATGTTGAGTTTCAGGGTGAAAAAAAATTATGTACCACTGCCCTCTCAATGCATTCTTAAGGGCCTAATATCTTAATTTATGCATCTTCAGCCTCATTTCCTCCCCTCCTCTTTGCCTAAGGTAGTCCTACATCAGCCCACCTCCACTTCATAATTCACTTATCAATCTTCATACTACTTCTTCTTTCTTACACATTTTAAGGAGATGTGAAAAAATCAAAAGTTCCATTTGCATCTGAGTTAGCATCAGCTAAATATATGGGACAATTCATACATAAAAGGTACTGTTCCAGGCTCTCCAGCAGATAATGCTGCATCAGTTATACGTGCTTTACAGCCAAAACAACCAGAGACTATCAAACAAATAATAATAAACAAACAATACTAATACTGCAACTAATATTAAATACAAAACTTCTGAATAACAATGAGGTCTATGCAGTTCCTGCATTGGTCCTTTGTATCCATTTCCAGGGAACAATTAAAACTTTGGGGATCACTGCTTTAGATCCCTTAGCTGCTTAATAGTATAATTCACAAACACTTCCACTTGACCTAACGTTTTTGTAGAAAACTAAACTGCATTTAACATTTATTTTGTTGCAAATCTGTTTTCAGAGAGCTTTGCTGACAGGCTCAGTGTGTCCTGTTCAAACACAACAGCCGTTTGTCTTTGGGTCATCAGCAAGAGAGAGTTTAATAATTGTTACCCCATAGCAGTGGTCTCCAACCTTTTTACACCCAAGATCACTTTGGCCAAGCCAAGATCTATCCCACCCCTTCCTGAAGACTCCACCCCTTCCTTGAGGCCCTCTCCATTCCCCTCCTCTCTATCACTTGCTGTCCTCAGCCCTTACTCACTCTCATGGAGTTGAGACATGAGGCATGGGCTCTGGATTGGGAATGAAGGTTTTGGGTGTGGGAAGGGGTGAGAGGTGCAAGCTCTGGGAGGGAATCTGGGTGCAGGAGGAGATGAAGAAGGGGATGCTGACTTGGGGAGGGAGCTCCAGGTTGAAGAGTGTTGGGACGCAGGAGTTTGGGTTGGGGTATATGAGGGGCTCGGGGCAGGGGGGGGTTAGGTGTCTGATGGGCTTGGGACTCAAGTTTGCAGTGTGTGGATGGTGCAAGAGTGTTGTGGAACAAGACTGGGGATATGGGGATGCAGGAGTTTGGAGCTGTGAGGGGCACAGAGTAGGGGGTTCAGGTGTATGATGGGCTCAGGGTTGGGGTGCATGGGAGGTGCAGGAGTGTTATGATACTGCGGCCAGATGGGGGCTTGGCCCCAATTGGGGGCTTCTTGACCAGGCTTAATTTTTAAATAAAATATTATGTCCAACACAAAACGTTTCAACATTGCCTTTACTTATGGGAGGGACTGGGAACCTATTTTGGGCCAGGGGTCACAGACCCACAAAAAAGTCAGTCAGGGACCACACAAATGAGATGTAAAAAAGCCAAACCAAACCAAAAACCCTGCAAAATCCCCCATGCCTCACTGATGTGGACCCAACTGAGACATCTCACTCCCCTGATACTCCAGCCCTGATGAGGGGTGGTGGGTGGGTACGACTGAGGTTCAAGGCCTCAGGCCAGATTAGCTCTTCTGCGGTTCTAGGGTTAGTGGATTTTGTGGGCCCCACAGGCTCTGAGGTGGGGCCAAAAATGAGGAATTCAGTGTATAAGACAGAGCTGCCAGTGAGTGGGATAAGGTTGGGAGTGCAGAATCAGGGTGGGAAGTAGGGTACAGGAGCAAGCTGGGGGTAAGTGTCTGGCCAGTAGGGAGGGGGTAGGGTGCTGGATAGTGTCTGGCCAGGGGAAAGGAGGTAGGGGCAGCTTGACTGGTAGCTGGGGGTCTCCAGGGATGCGGTTCTCTTGGGCAGGATCTGCAGGCAGCTTTGGAAGACACATATGTGCGGCATCTTTAAGAAATCCAGCCACTCCAGATCCTCTGCCGCTATGTTAACTACCACTCCCACCCTGCCTCCTCAGAGCATGGAGAAGGGAGGGAAGGCAAGAAAGTGTGCACGCTGCTGTGGGGAGGGGAGAAGCAGCATGTGAGCACCTCCTGAAAAGCCAGCTCTGGTGCGAAGCCTCAGGGCTTTCCCCCCCACACACTGCAGGAAGCTGGAGCTAGCTCCAGTTTTGTAAGGGGTGGGAGGTTGTAGTGCTAGTGCAGGCACCTTGTTGCGGGTGGGGGGATGGGAGTGGGAACACTGTCTTGCAATTAACTGGCAGTGCCATCACGATTGACAGGTCGGTGACCACTGTCCTATAGGGTGTATACAAAAATAATAAGAAAACAAAAATTAGCAGAACCATGACAAGCTTATATTAAGAAAGAGTTTGACAACTTTCCTCTTTTACAAGATTAATATCAATAGCTAAAGAACTGCAGCCACCCAACATCTGGAAATTTGTCTGAGAAAAATTAAAATCCATGCACACAAAGTGTATGAGCTAGCCAGAAACAGATTCTATTGAGACAAACAACAAAATGCAGAATTACTTAGAACATCTAAAAAAGACTGTAATATAGGTATGAAAGTAGGATTCTTTATTGAATGAGTTAGTGTGCCCAAAAAAAGAGTAATAAAAATAAGCAAACATCCAATGTAGAGGTAAATCCACAAGCTTATTTATCAAATGATGAATAAGAACAGACCCAAGTTCTTGTTAGAGAAAAATGAATAAGATCAAGCACAAGGCTAAATTCTGCATATCATGATTTTTGTAAATGGATTTGGAAAGTCTTGAGCAAAATAAAAATAAAACTCAATGTACCTTTTATGATGCATAATAACTTAACTGAAAAGTCAGGGAAGCAAACATGTTTAGTGGTAGGGATCAATACTTACAGGAAGCTTTGATTAGTGTTAGAGAACAAATAGAACGTTTCACATAAATAGCTAATGGAGAAAATACACATTTTTTGTTTATTCAAGTCTGTTTTGGTTTCCTAATTTTATTTGTTGATTTTCTTATACCTAACCCCTATCCATCCTTCAAGTCCCAGACCATAACTTCTATCTCAAACACAAACATTTTGGCAAACTGAATAGAGAGGAAAAGTTTCTTTAAGGAAAATACTTTAACCCATATGATCGCTTTTATTGTAGTTCATTGTTGTTCACTGTACAGGGAGTCTGAGTCAAAACATCATGCAGAAATCGTGAAAAATATATAATGAATAGTTTTACACCATCTCTTAAATACTCATTAATTTGCTAATTTTGCACATTTTAAAGAATAGATTATAAAGCAGCATTTCTTAAACTTCTTAAGACTGAGGAACACCAAACAATATTTTTTTTTTTAATGGGGAACACCAAGGATTTTTTGTAGAGCCAAAGAGTGGCCATTTTGAATTCTGTTGTTCTCTGCGGCACACCTCCAACTGCCTAAAGAGTATCAGTTCCCTCCTTGCAGAATCACCTACAAACCATTGTTCAAACAACAGACAAATCAAGATTATTTTCTCTCCTCCCCCATCTTAATATTTTTCAGTGGGATACTTGATGTTTCTCATTAAGACAATTATATTTAGTACCAAACCTCCCACCCCCTACCATGTTCAACAATTTCTCTTCATTTCCTATTGTGGAGAAAATGTTCAGCTTCATTAACAGGTCAAGATGACATTCAGTACAACTGTCCATTCAGAGAATCCAGGAAACAG